TATATATATATATATATATATATATATATATATATATATATATATATATATATATATATATATATATATATATATATATATATATATATATATATATATATATATGTTTGCGTAAACAAATTTGGAGCCGTGGCCTCGGGGCCAACGCGGCTCGGTTCGGGTCCGGATGGCGGGATCTTCCCGGTGCGGCCCTCGGGTTCGCCAAGGTAGTCGGCTACGGCGGTTCGATCGGGACGGCGTCAACCGTCTCCACCGGAGGGGGCTCCTCAGTTGGGCACGAGCCTCCCGACCCGACCCCTCCGACGATCAAGTCAGTAGATGGTGGAGGGGGTAGAAAGGAGAAGAGTTTGAGGTGTCTCCCTAGTGTGTTCTTTTCCTCCTCTCCCCCCTTGCTCGTTCATAGCGCGAGGGTATTTATAGGGAAGCTTTTGTTGTTTGATGTACCCGCTTGCAGGGGGTAGGCTGGTTGCGTCTGACATTGGTTTGGCGTGGCGTGAAGAGCCGAGCTTGAGTGGGCGTTAATGCGCCTCGGGCTGTGTTTCGGTTTGCTTGACCGGGTGTCGTCGCGTCGTCCGAGGCATTAGGCATCATCTGACGTCAGCCAGGTCTTATCATAATTACTACCCTCATCATATTCCCCCCCGGAAAGAAGCTATGCGTCGGTCGTTGTAACGAGAGTTCGAGGCATGGCTTCAGCTTTCAGACGGGCTGGCCGTGCAGGCATGGTCTCAGGGGCATGAAGCCGAGGGGCACGACGCAGGCGGGCTAGCCGCGCAGGTGTGTCTCGGGGGCATAGAGCCGAGGAGCATGACGCAGGCGGGCCAGCCGCGCAGGTGTGTCTCGGGGCATGGAGCCGAGGAGCACAACGTAGGCGGGCAGGCCGCGCAGGTGTGGTCTCGGGCAGCAAGGGGCCGAGGGGCACGACGCAGGCGGGCTGGGCGCACAGGTGTGTCTCAGGGCATGGAGCCGAGGAGCACGACGCAGGTGGGTTGGTCGCGCAGGTGTGTCTCGGGGGCATGAAGCTGAGGAGCACGACGCAAGCGGGCTGGCCACGCAGGTGTGTCTCGGGGGCATGAAGCCGAGGAGCATGACGTAGGCGGGCTGGTCGCGCAGGTGTGTCTCGA